CCCTAAACCCTGAACCCCAATGAATAGCTCATCGAACCTGAATCACCCCAATGGTGCAGCCTCGTGCTGTCCCCGACTGCCTTCAAAGGCCAGTGCCTCAAATGTGATGGGCCGACAGCGCTCAAAGCCGATCTATCCATCCATTTAGGGTTTAGGGTTTCATTCATTCATCTATCCACCTATGTATCCACCTATATATGACACACGTATAGTAGGAAGGCTCCTGCGAAAGGGTACAGGAGTGGCAGAAAGGAGCATGAGCTGTAGGAAATACGGAACAGCAGCTGTCGGAGGAGCTGCAGCAAATTGCAGCTGGTCTAATCTAATCTACTGATGAGGCCTACAGATTTTGACGACATACCTTGCCGTTACAGGCAATGGAACTTGGGATGGTTAAGATGGTTCGGGGATGTTGAGGATCTGTTCACTGCAAAGCTTGCTCGCCTGTGCACCTGTCACAGAAGGACTGTCCAATCACAGAAACAGAACACGACGGGCCAAACAAGACGGACCCTGAACGACTTTCGATTATAAAAGAGTGAGAAAAATTGGAGTATAGGATTTGGGCGGTACAAGTACATTATAGCCACAATACAAAACTGCTATGCTGATTTGAAGACTATGCAGGGGTACTACTACTACTACTACTAAGTATACGTTCAGGCCCAAATGTTCGGCACATGTGGCTCAGCCGGCTTCGTATCTTTGGCCTTGGGCAACTCAGAGCCCGCTTCGTCTCCCGCAATCGATCCCAACCAGGTCCCAGTACCACTAATGTAGGGGCCTTGATNNTTGGGGGGCCCATTATACTATAATTATAACACCAGAGGCTTGTCAGAAGTTAGGGAAGTACGGCTTGCTGCTTGCCTGCTTGCCTTGGCTCGCTTGCGCGAATCTGCAGGCAAGCTGCAATCCAATCTATGGAGACAAGCATGACATCCACCGGCAGCCACGTACGCGCATATTTCCGTGCCACAGCCGCTGCATCCATCACCAGCACTCCCTTGTTGTAGACTCCCGTGCGGAAAGACATCCTTGAAGGCATGCAGGGACCGCCACTGAGCTTCGCATACAGCATAGTGTCACACAGACACACACACACACACACTGGGGCATCTATCGACAACGATAGCTTCAGAGTCTCCACTGGCCTTGCTAATTATACAACTAGGTAGCTCGGGGGAGCAAGAATAGAAAATGCAAAGCAAAAAGTTAGACTTCGAGCCCAGTCACAGGATGTCGATGCTCCAGAACGCAATCGTCGACCATGACAGTACGTTCAGAATTTCTGACTCAGGGAGGTCGAAGAACTGCAGCGGAATAAACACGACATCCTTGGCAGGATATGGGAAAAGGCTTCTTTTTCAATCTCTAGAATCACCATGAAGACAACCACAGGAGCCCTACATAAACATACACTCACCAAACTTAGTATCATTAAGGAATGCTGCTATGGGCAACAGGGCAAACATGCAACATGCAGAAGGATGTGTGGTACAGGTTCATGGTTTGGCGCGCGGCAGGCCGCTACTGTAGGCCATGACATGTCGGATTGTGACCCGACGTTTCGCAACCCAGAGCGCACCCCACCCACCCGCCCACCCACCCCACCCACCCGCCCACCCACCCACCCACACACACACACACCCACACCCACCGACGGACAGACAGACGGACAGCCAGACAGCACACCTCCACACATGAAACATTGAAGTTCGCTTTCCGGATTCCACCTTCAACCGATATGTTAACCTTGCATCCACATTCCTTTTGCGATTGAAAGCCATGCAGCATTCAATTACACGGCCCTTCCTCTCTGGTGCGGTTCGTGCCAGCTTCACAAATGGTGAGACTTGCTGAAGATCGACAGAGCGGCGTGCAGCAGCCACATCACTGTGACAATTTCCCAAACAGTTCGCACAAAGCCTGACAGGCCAGCGGAGTAATGGGAGACCAACCAAGTCTGAGTCTAGATGCATGCGTAACGTCATCAATATGCCGATGATCTTCGGAACTGCCCTCCAGTACCACAGCATGCATTGAATTTGCATATTTATTGGCCCATCCTGAGCCCAACAGGCCTCCAGGATGCAAGACTCGAGCCTTTTCCTCCTCCTCGACTGTCTCGCTGACACAAGGCGCCGAAAAGGAAGACTCCTCCAAACCTTCGCTGCCAGAGCGCAGGGGGCCATGATGCATGATGTGCGTGCAAGCCCCGCCTAAGGTATCCAGGCAATCAGGAAGCTTGTGAACATTTGTCCAGATTAGGCACTGGTAAAATCGCATTGAGCAAAGCCGGTGCAAACTTGTGGGAGTGCGGCGCCGGCGGATGGCAAAGGTGATGATGAAGGTACATAAGATGGAGATGTTGGTGATTATGATACGGACCATGATCTCGAACATGGCTCTGACGATGCTGACGATGCATTGACAATGTGAAGACGGTGACAATACAAGGATGGTGGCACTTGTGATGACAATGCTGATAGTGATTTTGATGCTGGTGCTTGTGCGATGGCGTTGATCTTTAGAGTGATGGTTATGATGACGATGGTCTTGGCCATGACCCTGGCAGTGAGCATGATAGGAATACGTGTTCAGCCGCCCGGGGTGCCGTTGCACCTGCCATGTCCCGTACATGGAAGCGAAGCCAAGTTGCTTGCTACGCTGGACTTCTTCGCGGTGAGAGCCTTCGGGACGCTCTTCAAGCCAATTCTCGTCCAAGTGGGCCGTGGAATGAGGTCCTGCCGGGACTTTGGATGGAGGAAGGAGGCCGAGCTGGTAGCAAGATGCCAAAGACTTCTTCTGCCAGAAACTCCACGACATTACTAACACAATCGCCGCCCGAAGACAATACTCACACTACGCCAACGACGACGAAGACGACGACGACTGTTTCGACTACTGCTGCCGCTAGTGCTACTGCCGCTACTTCTGCTACTACTGGTACTACTGCTGGTACCACTACTGGACCTGTAGTACTGCTACTGCTACTGCTGCTGCTGCTAAAGCTAGTGAGTGCTAGTGCCAGTGCGAGTGCTTCTGCCAGTGCTAGGGAGCTAGTGCTATTGCTACTGCTGTTGCAGCTACCGCTGCTGCTACTGCTGCTGCCACAGCCAAGGCTCACCCACGGCCCTAGAAAGGCGCGGCACTATATTTTGCAGGGCTGTAAGCACGGAACTTTTGGCAGATTTCGATTCCTATGTGGTGCCGCCCAGTCCCTTGTCATCCCCAGTCTCTGCCGAGTTCATAACTTAGGACCGGAACTTCTATAGAAGCCTAAATAATTACCAATATATCTGTTAGAGCTCCTTATAATATTATAAATACTATAAACCCTGTTCTTCAGGTTCTTGTCTTTTGCTCTTCAGGGTCAACTGACTCGCATCCGATGCCTGGTCAATGCTCATCTCTCCAGAGCGCGCGGCCTCCCCGGACATAGGTCGGCATTGCAGAGCTACTGCTGAGGAGTTTTAGGGCAGAGGGTGTAAGGGTTATACATGTATGATGCATGTATGTATACATATACTACATTCCTACATGTAAACCTGTGTGTGTACTTGGCCCACTGTACCGGCATTGCGACGAAGTTCCGGAGGGAGGAGCTGAGAGTCTGTCGATGTTTATGCGAATGTGCAGGAAGGTTCTTGCTCGGAGTCGGAGGAATGCAGAACAGCTTGGTTTAAGTACACGAGAAGCTCGCCCACCTCTCCACGAGTCAGGAACATATGCTTTCCGGCGCTGGCAGAAGTGTCAGACTTCTCCCGCCGTGTCCTTAGAGGTGCTCGTGGATAACATGAGATTTGGAGCTCCTCTTCGCGTGGCTGCGGTTCATAGGACAGAGTTGCACGTGATCGAGCCACCGCAGCCAGTGACACTATCTCAGTGGCTGAATACTCCCATTTGGGACCGATGCTGTGCTCAGGATCACACGCAGAAGTAAATCATGGGTTTCGGGTTTGGGCAAGACGGACAGGCGGCCCCTGTTGAGCGGCGTGCAACTAACTCCAAAGAAAAGACTTTGTTCCTAGATCACTTCCCCAGATCTACTCTTCACACTGGTCCTTCTCACTCTGGGGGTTTATGAGTTTGTCATTTAAGGCTCCAGGCGTGGGTTCACCCAGTGTCTGGCGAAGTGAAGCTCGTGGAGTGAAGGGGGCCTTCGAGAGGCCTCTGCAGAGCCACTTCCCATGGCCTTGCCCCTTGTAGCTCCACCTGAAAGCCTTACTATCCGGATTACAAGCGCCAACAAGCCACGGTGCCTCAACAAGTCGTTGATGAAGCTAATAGACTCATATATTACAATTGTTTGATATTAGTTCTGTTATATTAAAAGTAACAGTATGATAATACTAATGGGCAAATCTGTCTCAATTCCCTTTCTAGCTCGGCAGCCTTCACCCTCCGAAGCTTTGTAAGTACTGCATCTCGACATTGTGCCCATGCCCTTCTCAACGAATCCGCCTGTCAAGCCTACTTCTGAAAAACTACCCTAAACCATGAACCCCTAAACCCTAAACCCTAAACCCCTAAACCCTAAACCCCTAAACCCTAAACACCTAAACCCCTAAACCCCAAACCCTAAACCACAATCCAGCAGTGAAGTCTCGGGGAGTCCATCATGCTCTGGTTCCCGAAGGGCGGAAGCAGCCTCTCGATGTGGGGGTTTCCTAAAATAGGGGACCCTAATATAGTACCCTAAATAGTAGGATCCATATTATGAGCACCCCAAATAAGGTACCCCCTATTTTCGGAAACTCCCATGTTCAGGTTTGAAAGGCAGGAAGGAGGGTGCACTGGTGGAGGCAGCGGGGAGTGGGTACCCAAACCAGGGCCTTTCGGGCCTATGGCTCTTTGGTTCCTGAGCCTTCAGGAGCTTTAGGGACCTGTCCAGTAAGTCCGCATCACAAACAGCCACATACTGAGAGCTTGGCGACTTCTGAAAAGCTACATGCTTGGCCTGACGAATGTCGCTTGGTGTCTAGAACTCTGGCGACACACGCCCGGATTACAACCTACACTAACTTGAAGTCTTCTGTTGGAAAACCTTGAGAGCCTTTCGTCACAAATCAGGACTGCTAGAGCTCCGTAGTGAGGAATGGCCACCGTACCGAGCAGACGTTTGACATGCTGGTAGTTCCGAGAATGCATTCAAGCAACGAGGCGAGGTCACGCGAGGGCACGCGGATGCTTTTCATCGAACCTTAAGGGCGAAAGCTGAAATCTGAGTCTGCACTCTTCTTCTGCTACTACGACTATGACTACTACTTCTTCTACTGCTACGACGACGACAACCACGACTGCTACAACACCTGCCCCTGCAAATTCTGTCTGCTGTCGCGCCAGCAGTAGTTCGTACAACTACAGCAGTCGTCGTGCCTGTCGTAGTAGAGACCAGTCTGTGTCGTCAGCAACAAGGAAAAAGCCTGAATACTTTCTTGCACACTCATATATCTTTTGATATCAATGCATCGTATCCACGAAACTATCGTGACCAAGAACATCGTCCTGGGCTGCCAGGTCTTACCTGTCCCAGCTATGCAAATGGAGACTATCATGTGAATGTACATAATGTAGGGGCCTTAATAATTAATTAGAATAGGTTTTGGGGGTTCCTTATTAGTTGTTGTTATAGTAGAATATACCCCAAAACCCTATTGTAATTATTAAGGCCCCTACATTACCGCAACCGAAGCCATCGCACCTTCAAATGCCACAGCCGGGTCACCAGTGCGATCTTTGATGGACGTCACTCCTTGGCGGCATCTCACACCAATACTGTAGGGTCGGTGTGGGAAGGTCGCACAATGGGATTGAAACAGGGGCCTGCCAAAATCTGTGCTGCGGGTTGGGTTCACCCACTGTCTTACAAAAAGAGCTAAGCAATGAAGGGCATTCGCGACGCACTGGCTTGCGGACGTGCCTCGAGCTCTCGTCGGGCTTCTGGGGCTGGACTGAAGGTCACTGTCGGGGGTGTTCTGCCGCACTATCACCGCTGCCTCTGATGGGATCGCGGGGCGAGAACGTTCTGTGGCAGAAGACCTGAGCACGAGCAGACGTTCGGGATTTAGACTGCTGACTTCGCATGACTCAGAAACCCCTCTAGATGTGCCTGCAGCTATGCGACCGTGCATCACTGAAATCCGGTACCCTGAAATATCGTGCGGCAGAAATATAGGGGCCTGAATAATCAAGATAGGGTTTTGGGGTAAATATATGAAAGCATACTCAGCCTTCTTATGATCTTATAGAGAGCCAATCTTCTGTCGAGTCGCAGGCTACTCTGAGGACCGACAGGAAGCAGGCTGCTCTGCTGATGCCCCCCGTCTGGGTTGGATGTCAATGACACCCCTCAGCAGTCAATTTCAAGGGTTTAGGGTTCAGGGTTTAGGGTTTAGGGTAATTTCAGAACTCAGGCATTGCATGAACAGTGTAATTAGTGACAAAGCTTAGCATGAGACCAGAGCTTACGACACCTACCGCATGCTGGCGTGACATATGGGGGAATAGTCACTGTTCCAATCCGCCGCGACATCAAACAAAGTACTGCTGTACTACTGTCCTGCGAACACCTTGACATGCGATACCGCTGTATGCCCGATGCCCTGATATATTCTGCGTTGTTCTGTCATGTTCCCAAGATACACGAGCATTCTACCATCACTGTTCTTTGAATTTACGCTCCGAAACGCCGTTTTGGCATGATGGCAAGCATCGAATCAGCATCATCGAACACATCGACGTACAGCAACATGTCACGATGTGCTGGATTAGAGAGCAGTGCAGTGCAACGGTATGGCATAGCTTAACGTCAAGGTATTCATCATAGTCCGTCTTCTGTTGCAAGTTCTTTTGCGGAGGAAGGAAGTGCAACATCAGTAAAGTAGACATCCGTGATGCTCCCATGGCACCATCGCTGCCAATGCTGCCATGAATGACTACTGATCATGAGCATAGTCGGGGCAAGCAGTCTGCAACAAGATGTATTCGTCACGATACAAGACACATGCGTTCTCATCACCCCCTCCAAGGCCGTTACCAGTGTTAGCTGCTCAAACTTGGCCATACTTCTGCCAGTGCTGGTCAGAGGGGCACTGGGGCCGCGGTATTTAGCACCGCAAAAGAATAAGAGCAAGAATGAGTAAGTACAAGCACAAACCTAACGCTTTGCAGATTCAATGCCGCATCTTGGTATGAGCGGTGCAATATGGTACAATACTGTCTGGTGAGATCACATACGAAAGACGACCAACAAGCAAACCTTAAATCCTGCACTGAATTTACATAAACAGCAAGTGTACTTCGACTAATCATGACCCTCGAACAACCGCCAACTCGACACTCCCCAGAACCCCACCCTGCGCCCTGAGCCCTAAACACTGAAACCCTGATCCCTGAACCGGCAACTGCTGCCAGGAGTCTTCGTTGATCCTGGCTTCCGGTCCTGTGTTTTCCCGCAATCGACCTGGGACGTTTCTTCGCTTCGGAGGAGTTGCCTGTTTCGAGGGATTTGCGGCTTGCGTTGCAATTTCGGGATTTTGGCTGTCGATTCAGAGGTTTTAACTCGAGTCTTCCGCCATCATGTCAATGTCACCATCGTCGTCGTTGTCGGCACAATGTGTCGCCATGCTGGTCCTGGTGCTGGTGCTGGTCCTGGTCCTCGTCCTCCTCCTGCTCCTCCGAGGCCTCATCAACAACAAAAATATCATCATCGACATCATCGTTGTCATCAATCATCATCATCATCATCACCATCATCATCACCATGAACATGATCATCATCATCGTCGGCATCGCTGCCGTGATCACATGCTAATCGAACTGGTCGTCGCCCTGGCACCCGTGCTTGCGAAATTCTGATTGCACATAGCTATGCACAGCGCTCACCTTGAGAAGCAACCTGGGGGACCGGCGTCCGCCTTGGCACAGTGATGTTTGTGGACTCTCGAATCTGAGCCACATCAGCCTCGTAGCACCTGGGCTAGTGAGAACAAAGTACACATGAAGCTAATAACGACTGCTGTAGTCTATATGTGGCATAGCCAAAGCCCTGCGAAGCAACGTTGCTGAATGCAGAGTCTTCCCTCCTTGTGTCCAATTATCGAGGTGCGCTGCGAATGACATTGGGTGTGGTACAACGAGCATACCAACACGTCGGTTGCATTCGGAGACGATATAGTCAGCCAATTTGCCAAGACTGACTTTCGCCTATGGACACTAGTTGGACTTTTATGCGCTACGCTCGTGGCTACTGTTGAATGTGCCAACGTCTCGTTCCTCTACTTTACCTACCACATGTGCTCAACTGTACGACACGATCTAGACTCTCCCTCACTGCCAGGTTGTGAGACGTGAGACAGTCAATGAAGGTGCATGCAGAAATCTATAGAGATTCCGCTTCAGAGCTCTACATGCCAATTAGACCGTGTAGTGTGGCACGCACTACAATTATGGGCTTGTGGGTTCTAACCTTGGCTAGCATAGCCGCGCGGCGCCCGCGGACACACGTTTTTCGGGATGCGGCTCGCGCAGTTTGCTCTCACGTCCAATGTTTACACAGGATCCGGAGAGCCAGGTTTTCATGAGCAACCTTTTTGGCCTTCTGGCCCCCAAAACTCCGAATCCGCCGGTTTTGCCCGTGCTCCCGGATCCCGGCAGGACATGGGGAGATGCATAGGTCTCTGGGTGGTCTGCTGGCGGTCTTCTGCTCGTCTCCTGGTTGTCGCTCGCTGGTGGTGGTGGTTGTGGTCGTCATGGTCGTCACGGTCGTCATGGTCGTCGTGATGCTCTTTCACATTTGGGGATCTACGCTGGCATAATTTTAAAATGACGTTCCTGCAAGGTCTCTATTATCGTGCTATGCGAGCCCTGCAGTGCACATCAAATGCGATGCTGCTCTTACACATGTGATATCCACTGTCATAACTCGTTCTGCTCGGCTACATTCTATTGACATGCAAGAGGGCACAAGCTCAAGCATGCAGATGGAAGCATACGAGACCTTTGTGCACATGCTCAAGGTATGCCTACACACCTCTGCCATGCTTCGCCCTTTCCCTATTCTGCCGTCGGAGAGGCTCGCCGAGTCGGCGATGCAGGTCCCAAAAGCCTTCGACGTGATGTAGCTGGCACGAACCCGAAACTGACCGCGACTCCTGACACACTCAGGTCCACTCTTCAAGAACAACCCGTTTCAGCAGAAGGTGAGCCACCGCATAAACTATAAAGCTGAGACATAGGGCCTGGAGCGCGATGAGACGGTCTACGTATCTTCCCCGTCCTCCTGATGAGGAACGGCGACCGAAACCATGACAGTCGCCACCGACAGTCCCCGGCAAACAAAGATACTTGAGCCAACGGCAAGTTGACGTTTTGTCGGGCTCCCATGCGATGAGGTTGCATGGAAGGCGTGGGTTCGCTACAGAACCCGTAGCGACAAGTCTTTCGCACGGGCTCATCAATACAACCAGCTAAAGAAACATAGCGCCGCTGGGGCCCATGCCTTTGCTTTGAATGTCTCTGCATTGTCCTCTTCCTCCTCCTCGTCCTCCTCTCCTCACAGCGGAGACTGGATATTGACAAGCGTCATAAACTTGGATGAGCATGCGCGCGGAGAAAATTCGCCGCTGAGGCTGATCAAGGCGGCCTTCCTTTGCTTCCTTTGCTTCCTTTGCTTTCTCTGATGTCTCGTCCGGGCCCGTCTTCTCCTCTCCAGTTGCGCGTCCCACTCGGGTTGCGGTGGTTTTAGAGGTTCACAAAGCTTCACCGAACAAAAAACTAGAAAGCAGCAGTGGATTACACTGTAACTGCCGGTTTGCAATCCTCCGGACGTTTGCCCCTGCAAGCAATGCGCTTTAGACTGAGTGCAGCGGGCTGCTTTCGCAGCAGAGGTGGCCTAAGTAGAATCTAGAGACGATAAACCCAAGCACCAGTCAAATGTCCGTGGGCTTGCACAGCAACCCACTCCTCATCATCGCCCTCTGCCTGTTTCGCAGCCACATGTGGTCGACAAGGCGATATGCACCACACAACATGCAAAGAACGTGGACTTGAACAGCTGGTTGATACTTCATCTTCACCCTCCACCTCCTCCTCCTCGTCCTCCTCGTCTTCGTCATCATCGTCGTCGCCGTCTTCTTTGCCACCTTCTTCGTCTTCCTGGGCCAAGCTTTAGACCAGCGCATGGCTTGCACTGGAACAGGAGACGCCCCAAAACCTTAAACAGGAATGATGAAGTAGTTGGCATCAAGAAGCATTTGGAGAATAACTACTAGTCTACACCATCAGTCGTCTTCGCAGTAGGCCTCGTCCTAGACAGCGTTGTAATAGTAGTGGCAGCAGTGGTAGCAGCAGTAGTAGTAGTAGTAGTAGTCGTCGTCGTCGTAGTAGGAGTAGCAGAAGCAGGAGCAGGAGCAGTAGCA